ATTGTTCTTGATGTTTTTGTTTTGATTCTATTTTTCGAATTTTTTTCCTGGGCGGATATTAAGAAAACTGTGTCTTACTGACGAAATAAATGTTTTGAATAATTTACATATAAATTCTACATATATCTATATAAAGTTATATATACAAGAAAGTCGAAACGTGGAATAAAATGTGAAACTTTTTATTATATACAACTTATCAGTTTAACATAACTTTTTCTGAATTTAAATCAATCACTAAAGGCAATTATGACAAGATTTCCCCAAACAGAAAGCTAAATCTCATTTTTATTGTTAAACATAATTTACACACCGTCTTTTATCAAAGACTAAGTGTATTTTGAAATCATTTCCAAAAATAAATGTACATAAATCACGACGTGCACATGTACATTGATATCACTGAAAGAATAAACTATTGATAGAATATTTGCGAGCCTCCATTGCAATAACGAAAGACATAATCATATAAACTTTATTTAGAACAATAACTTAAGATTTCCTCCTAATTAAATTGACAAACATTATTTACTTTTCCTAAAATAAATATACATAAATCACTACGTGTACAACTACATTGATATAATTGAAACAAAATATTGACAGAATATTTTTTCAACTGTTACATCGAAACATGTAGAAGTTCAAACTATAAATTTCATCATGATGTTATTTAACACCAGTCAACCTTAAAGATTTTTATTCGATGTTTTGGATCAAAAAACTCTCTTTCAGAATAAGACACATAAAGTCTTCTCGATTTCTTACAGTATACCACAGCTTCCGGGTACCAACTATCAATCGTTAATTTACATGGCTTACAGCTGTCTGATACTCTCCGCAAATTATTGTCTCTATCTTGATTCATACAAACAAGAAATGTGCCATCATTTAATTCACAAATATTTCGTAGATGTCCTCCCTGTGCTGGTTGATAGGTATTTAAAACATTTCCCTGCCAGTCTAGTTGTTTGACAGCCTTCACAGGATAACCACAGTCACTAACATATATAGACGTTCTTGCTGTATTAACCGTGACATAACGATGATAGCTGAACAGACTATTATCTCCACAAAAACTTTGAAATATTTAACCTTGTAGGTCAAAAACTAAAACTTTTCCTGGATTAACATTACATGACACAACAAGCTTATCTCTGCTGTAAGCAATACCATAACATTCCTCGTTGATATTTACCTTACGATCAGAAACTATGCGTTGATTTCTCAGCGACATGAAATGAATACTTTTGTCATCAGGTACAGTAACGAAAAACTTATCATCCGTTATAGCTGCAACATCAAACGGTGAATAATCTAGTTTTATCTCTGAAACAATTTTTTTCTGAACTATATCATAACATTTTACATTTTTATTCGCTGTGATCACACATAACTATCTTGTCGGACTTGATAACTTCTATCCCGGTTATATTACATTCTGTGTTTCCCGATAACGAATTCAAATTTATATCTTCAACAACCTCAAGATTCAGCATCATATCCTGAAACGGTGCTGATGTAGGTTTCATCACTGGAACATTTTCACCCATGGATCTTATCATATCTTATCAAAGTGAGTTTAATGGTAAGTTGCAAAATATGCAACGACAGCTAAATGTTTCAAAATATCAAAACGAAAGTTTGATAAATAGACATGTTCCTGAATTAACGGGGAATCAGTGAAATGTTTCAATAATATTGACTCATTTTCAAACCTCTGTTGTCGTATTACAGTGAAAGAAAACGTAGTTATACCTTCAGAAACAGAGGTTATAATTACTGGTAAAGCAGTTGGCACTGTCACAGATACTATAGGTATAGTAGAACCAAATCTCAAATTTGCAGAGAAAAGTGGTATACTTGTCGCAAAGGCATTGGTAGACTTAAAGAAAGGTGAAATACCAATACGACTAGCAAATTTTAGCAATGAGCCGTGTACTGTCTATAAGGAAACACAGTAGCAGCTTTTTATGAACCTGTTAAGGTTCCTGAAGAGTTTAAAATGGTAGAATTAGTTGCAATATCGTCTAATAAAGGTTGTATAGAAGTACCAAACCATCTAAAAGAGATGTTTAACAAGGCAAAATGTAATTTTACAGACTTAGAACAAGAGAGTGTTAAGAAGTTGCTTATGAAGTATCAAAACGTATTTTCAAAGCCGGACGATGATTTAGGTAGAACACATATTGTGGAGCACTCTATTGATACTTCTAATGCTAAACCAATTAAGCAAGCACCATACAGAGTACCACTAGCAAAACCGTTAGTTGCTGAAAAAGAGATTAGGGACATGGCTGAAAAGCAAATAGTCGAACCTTCCGTAAGTCCATGGTGTAGTCTTGTTGTGATGGTAACCAAGTCTAAGGGCTCTATTCGTTTTTGTTGTGATTTCAGAAAGCTTAATGAATGTACTGTTAAGGATATTCAGCCTTTACCAGTATAGACGATACTTTAGATGTTTTATCAGGTTCGGCTTGGTTTAGTACACTTGACTGCAAATCAGGCTTTCGGCAAGTTGGTTTATCTGAGACAGATCGTCCTAAAACAGCATTTTCTGTACAAGGTAGTGGGCTCTGGCAGTTCACAGTAATGCCATTTGGGCTGTGTAATTCGCCAGCGACCTTTGAAAGGTTAATGGAACGGGTACTTGCTGGACTTACATGGAAAGATTGTCTTGTATATTTAGATGATATCATTTCATATTCTAAAACCTTTGATGATCATTTAGCTACTCTGGAAGAAATTTTTCGTAGAATGAGTGAAGCTAATCTTAAGTTGAGTCCTGAAAAATGCGTGCTCTTCCAACGTCAAGTAAGTTTTCTTGGGCATGGTATCGCAACTGATTCAAGGAAAATTGAAGATGTCATAGATTGGAAAACCCCCAGAAATGTTAAAGAAGTAAGAAGCTTCTTGGGACTCTGTTTTTACTACAGAAAAGTTGTTAGAAATATTTCTTCTATAGCTAAACCGCTACATAAATTTACAGAAAGGGGAATAAACTTTAATTGGTCAAATGATTGTGAAAGTGCTTTTCAAGCCCTAAAGATTGCTTTGACCAATGCATCTGTACATGCGTACCCCTTGACAACAAGTGAATATATCCTTGACGTGGATGCCAGTGGGGTTAGTATAGGCGTAGTACTCTCACAAATACAAGATGGAGACGAAAAAGTGATATCGTATTACAGAAAATATTTATCGAAACCTGAACGACAGTACTGTGTCACAAGAAGAGAGTTATTGGCTGTAATCAGTGCTGTGAAACATTACCACCATTATTTATATGGGCGACACTTCATGGTAAGAAGTGATCACGGGGCCCTGAGGTGGTTAGCGAACTTTAAGAGTCCCGAGGGACAAATTGCAAGATGGTTGGAAATATTATCAACTTATGATTTTGAAATAAAGCACAGAGCAGGCCGTGTGCACTCTAATGCTGATGCTTTATCTAGAAGACCATGTAGTGATTACAAATGTTCTTACTGCAATCGTGCAGAAGACAAGTATTCTTTTTGTCTTAAAAAGGACAGAGAATTTAGAGATGAGATGAAGGATTTTAGCATGAAAGATGATGATTTCTGCCTGTGGGTGGGGACAATTCGACAGATAGTTCCCTGAATTGTCATATTCACACTCAAAATGTCCAGAAGCTAGCAGAACACGCTTGTGTGAAAACCATCTGCGAGTCTGTAGATGTTGGTGATCTTTATGTCAACAATAAGAGTGATGCAACGTTGATCGATTGCAACTCTATTGTTAAAGGTTGCTCAACGAAGGAAGGTAGATTAGAATTTTTGAAAAATACTGGTCCTTTATCTTTGGAAAGAATTGCAATGGATATCATGGGGCCTTTACCAAGGACAAGTTTAGGACATAAATATATACTTAATACAGTAGACTACTTTACCAAGTGGATAATGGCCATTCTAATTAAAAATCAAGAAGCTGTTACTATAGCTTCAAAATTTGCTGTAAAGTTTGTTTCAGGGTTCGGGGTGCCTAGACAGATTCATTCAGCCCAAGGGTCGAATTTCGAATCTCAGGTTTTGAAAGAAATGTGCCAAATACTTGGAATAGACAAAACAAGAACGACACCATACGGCCGCAATCGGACGGCTTAGCAGAAAGAAGTCTACGTACAATTCAAGCAATGTTGTCAAAATTTGTAGCATCTTCTCAAAGGGATTGGGATAAATACCTACCTATAATGACATTGGCATATAATGCATCAGTGCAAGAAAGCACTGGTTTTTCTCCGAGTATGATGATGTTTGGGAGGGATATGACTTTACCAGTTGATTTAGCTATTGGGAAACCTGAACAAAATGCTCAAGGGTCTAAGACCTCATTTGCGGTAGATTTAGAAAACAAACTCGAAAAAGTTCATGAACTGGCCCGAAATAATATGACAATTGCAAGTAACTCCCAGAAACGACTTTATGATCATAGGTTAAATCAAAATAAATATAACGCGGGAGATATGGTTTGGTTATATACACCACAGATTAAACCGGGGTTGTGTTCGAAACTGTCACGGAAGTGGACAGGGCCTTACGTAGTTGTTAAAAATATAAACGATGTTGTCTATCGAATTCAGTTGAATAAACGGTCGAAGCCAAAAGTCGTGCATCATGATCGTTTATCGTTATATAAGGGTAGAATAGTATCATGGTATCAGGACGTATCTAACTAGCCTTGTGAGCTCACCTCAAATAATAAACTATCCAATACTGATGTTGATAAATGTTAAATGATAATAACAATAATGTCCGTTCATTGTTTACGATGTTTTTATTTTTTTTATTTGTCTTTCGCTTCAGTTTTTGTTTGTCGTCTGTCAAAATGTGACATTTCAAAAATACCATCAGGCTGCCCGACACGTTCAGGAACAACACAGTCATTATATTTATCAGTATCTAAAATGCAGAAAACTCTTTATAAGGAGGTCGGATAGACATCAACCCTGTGAACACCTAAACATTAGTGATTTTGATTAGATGGATACAAATGGAGTCAGAGATAAGGCCTTAGATCGTTTCTTAAGATGGAAGAAAGAAACAATGCCGAGTTTGATTAATGAAGTCGAGTCAGGATATCTTATACAAATCCGCCTTTTAAGACATAGTTATGACCCCACTCAGTTGGAAAATGATCGATTTTCTGGTGAGGAACTTGACCACATGCTGAAACAACCTGTGTCTCCTCTGAGATCTTCTCCTCTGAGGTCTCCAAAGAGGATAATCAAACTGAAGGACCTCGAGGACATAAGCTCAGAAGAGCTTGACTATGAAGACCACACAGATAGTTCTTCCTCATATTCTTCTTCATCTAGCTCCTCATCATCCAGTACATCTTCTAGTGACTCTAGAATTGAACCTAGGAAAAATCTATCCACTGGCACTCGGAAACGTAAACGTGCCTGGAAAGTTTCACATTTGTCATCTTCCAGTGATAGTGGATCTGAAAACGAATCATCTGTACCTGAAAAGAAGAACAAATTAGTAATGAATGATGATGAAAATAACAAATCTAAAAATACTAAGAAAGAGTGCAGAATAAATGTGGTACGCGAAAAAGAATATGGAGATAAGAAAAAATGCAAAACAAAATTCAGATGTAAGTAAGACTGTTTAGTCTGATAAAAACAGAAATAAGGAAATAACAAATGAAAAGAAAAGGGAAAGCAAGGAGAAAGAATAAAAGAAAAATAAAGGTGAAATAGAAAGTGATAAAGGATGTACTAGACAAGAGAAGATATATAAGATAAGAAAAGTGAACGAGAAGGAGAAAACTTGTGAATTAGTTAAGGTTAAGAGTAAGAATGGACTGTAACTGAAAATACCAAGCAAACCAAAGGTGAAATAGAAAGTGATAAAGGGTGTACTAACCAAGAGAATAGAGATAAGTTAAGAAAAGTGAACGAGAAGGAGTAAACATGTGAATTAGATATGGTTAAGAGTAAGACAGTGACTGTAACTGAAAATACAAAGCAAAATGATATGCAAAATGAAAGTGAAATAGAAAGTGATAAAATGTGTACTAACCAAGAGAAGGAGAAAATAGGTGACATGAATATGGTTCAAGGCCAGACAGTGACTGAAATTATAAATAAAAATGAAGCGAATTGTGATGAAACCCCGGGTGAAAGCGAAATTAATACAGATGCTAGCACAGGTAAGGATATTGTGGAAGGTACACATACATCAGGACAGCACACCTTATCAATTCAGTCAATTATACCTTTATTACAACGGGCCCAAAATAAAAGGATAATTTTAAACATTGGGGGTCAGAGGTTTGAGGCATCTCGTGTAACCCTACAAAGAGTGTCTTGCTCAATTCTATCAGAAGTTGTGTCTGAGGGAGGAATGGTCCCGAAAAATGGAAATATTTATTTTATTGACCGTGACCCAGCCCACTTTCGGTTTGTGCTGAACTACCTAAGAAATGGGGCGTATGACCCCATGATTTAAGGTACCTATATGAGTTGTACTACGAGACTAGGTACTATCGTTTGCCAAGTTTAGTGCATGCTATTATAAGTAAAATTGAACAAGTAGGTGTTGTTGTAGTGTAATAATTATGTTGTTTTTTCTTGTACATTGTAAAAGAAATGTAAGAGTTTCGGGGACCAAAACTTTTGTGGACGGGGGCAATGTAACGACCCAATGTTATTAAAAATAATATTGTATTATTATGTTGTATGTAAATATTATGTTTGTACTATTGATTATGTTTAAAGATGTATTTTGATGGAATTAGTTTAAATGCATTTAATTTTACCACTCCCCACCCACTTTTATATAAGTAAATGCACCCCCGTATATTTTGTGTACATGCATATTTCTATCAATATGATACTGAATATGGTTCTGTTATTACTGTTGAAATGTTTTCTATGTCATTGTTTTTACATTATATAACTTAAATAACTCCTGGGCATTGTATTCACATTCATATTTGTTTAAATATATTTTCTTGTCAGTGAATTTATTATTTCAGGGACAGATATTTCACTTATTATATGCTTTCTTGTTTAAAATATCATAAATATCAATAGACTTACCTTGGTTGCTTGAATTTCCATCACTGTAATTCTTCTAGATGTTTTTCAGATGATGTTATTGATGAAATGTTAATAATTTTTCACTTACATCCGTGTTTTGGCATCCATTTTGGCGCATCATCTACTTAGAATTGTGACGTCATCGGTGACGTAATCTTTTCGCGAGATATTGTTTTTATCTGCGCTGTATTCATTTGGTGAAGGGCTAGCACCCAGAACAGTACTTTAAAATGATTTAAAGTCAATCTAACCTAATATTTGCCAAGATGTCCCAACCAGAGGTAATAAAAAGTGAAAGTACCTAAATATTGTGTTTAGATGTTAAAATTAGCCCATCTCCAGTGTTACGAAATGTGAACCTAAAGTTTAAGTTTAACTCGGTAGTGTAAACATGTGAAATGTTCTAAGTACCTAAACTTTGGGTAGTTTAACCGTGAAAACTGTTGGGATTTCTTTAGGGATTCCGTATTTATCTATTTTCTAAGTTTCTTAACTTTAAGATTTCTGATGTGGGTGAAAAAGATGTTTATCGTGAGGAAGTGTCCAAGTTTTACCAATGTAATTATTCATGTGTTAATTTAAGTAAATACCTAGCTCCGATTAAATTATCTAAATGTATGCAAGTGTTAAAGTTGCTAAATCTCTATGTTAAACGCGTATACTGTACATGTTTAAATACTGTGCCTTCCCGGAACTATACTGTATTTACTAAATAACGCTTTCAAGTGTTGTTAAATTATCGTAAGTTATGTAATTAAATTAATGAGTGTCTTGGAGTTTGACTGTATTATTGTTTAATGTAGCTTGTGTTTCTAAGTGCCGTAATTTTCTTGTGATGTGTTTAAACGTGTGTGATTTGTAAATACGTATATCTGGTGAAACAGTGCGTGTGAGATGAACAATTAAATTGGTTAAATATTACGTTGATTAATAAACTCAGTAAAGTAAGAGATATTGCTCTATGGAACAGCTCTGTGAATCTAAGTGTTTAAGAACGCTAATTATTATACTTAATTAAGTTTACAGTGATATTTACTGACAATTTATATTAGATCTACGTAATACATGTAATGTTATATTTTGCTAAATGTTAGTTACTTGAATCTACTTGTCTTGTATGTATTACTCTATGTGGTTAAACAATTAAAGTTAATAAAAGTTGTTTAAGTGTTTATACGCCTCAATTATAATTTACCCTACCAAAAGCCGGGCCCAGACGAACTCGTGTGGCACTTCTTGTGTAGCAAACAGGCCAACGTTACACAAGAGGGACGTCACATTTATAACCATATTTGTACTCCGTTATAAGCGCTATAGAGACTATTTTTGTATATTTTGACTTCTTTTTGGTACTGTACTTGAATTTTAAGTGCAGATTACATCGTGTCAATTACTTTCTTTGTTCACTTTACAATATTTTACTTTCAAAACATTTTCAAAATTTTCATGAAAATTAGAATGAATCTGGAGGCGTGATGCTTTAACATTTTATTTAAAATTTGGTATGTATTGAATTCATTCCTAAAACAACTATATAACTATTGATGTCATTGAAACAAAATATTGACAGAATACAATTTCAAAAGTCATTATCATATAAACATCATTTTGAACAATATAATGTCTTTTAAACTGTTACATTGAAACATGTATAAGTTCAAACTTACTGTATAATTTTCATCATGATGTAAATTAACACCAGTCAACTTTGACCATTTTTATTCGACAGTTTGTGCCATAAAGACCTCTTTCAGAATAAGACACATAAAGTTTTCTCGATTTCTTACAGTATGCTACAGCTTCCGGGTACCATCTACCAAGTTTTCCATTTATAATTAACTTACACGGCTTACAGCTGTCCGATAATCTCCGCAAATTGTTTTGATTATCTTGATTCATACACACAAGAAATGTGCCATCATTTAATTCACAAATACCTCGTAGATATTTTCCTGCCTGTGCTGGTTGGTATGTATTTATAACGTTCCCTTGCCAGTCTAGTTGTTTTACAACCTTCACAGGATAACACCAGTCACTAACATATATATACGTTCTTGCTGTATTAACGGTGACATAACGAGGATAGCTGAACAGAATATTATCTCCACAAAAACTTTGAAATATTTTACCTTGTAGGTCAAAAACTAAAACTTTTCCTGGATTAACATTGCATGACACAACAAGTTTATCTCTGCTGTAAGCAATACCATAACAGAGCTCGTTGATATTTACCTTACAATCAAAAACTATGCGTTGATTTCTTAGCGACATAAAATGAATGCTTCTGTCAACAGGTACAGTAACGACAAACTTATCATCCATTAAAGCTGCAACATCAAACGGTGAATTATCTAGTTTTATCTCTGAAACAATTTTTTTCTGAACTATATCATAGCATTTTACATTTTTATTGTCGCTGTGATCACACATAACTATCTTGTCGGACTTGATAACTTCTATCCCGGTTATATTACATTCTGTGTTTCCCGATAACGAATTCAAATTTATATCTTCAACAACCTCAAGATTTAGCATCATATCCTGAAACGGTGTTGATGTAGGTTTCATCACTGGAACATTTTCACCCATGGATGTTTTCATTGTAATAAGTTCTCCCAGCTGCTTGTTATTATTTAACATATCGATTATATCACTGTTTTTGACAAATGATACCGTCTGGAAAACATCTTCACGAGTATATTGTTTTTGCTTTAGCCTCATTTCTTCAACTCGTTTCTTTGTTTCTTTTATTTCAACAAACAGTTTATCAAGGCAATTTCTTTGTATAAGATTATCTAAGCATTTTTGTTTCTCAGTCAGTTCATCTGTGATTTCTTGAACATCTGTTGATAAACTATTTAGATCCGTTTGTTGTTTACGAAACATGCTGTCGGCTTCTTCAACAACACGTTTTTCCATTTCGTCCAGTAGCGTGCTGATTTCTTTTCTGAATTGATGAATCGCCTTCATTACGCCATCGTGGTTTTGAGAAATAGCTTTCATCTCATCTTTTACTCTTTTTATCTGTGATTTATAATTATCCTCCAGTGCTTTCATTTCTGCAATTATTTCATTAAGTTCTTCACTGTCAAGAATATGCTTCGAGAGTTTCGATATGTATTCCTAATTACACAACCTGTGATTCAGCGTTACACAAACACTGCAAACAACGATGTCATGATCTTTGCAGTAAAATTTCAGTTTTTCGTCTTCATGATCATCACAACTATCAAGTTCGTCTTTTACGATTGGAACGCTTGGTGTAGTTGGCATGGAGTCTTGATCTAGTAGAATATGATGACATGAATGAGTTTGTTTCTTGTGGTGCTTGTAACAAGTGCCACAAAGATGTTTATTGCAGGTTGAACAATAACCTTTTGCTGGTACCCGGGCACCATCTTCATCACACGGGATACAGAACAAAAGAAAGTCCTCCTCATCAGAGCCCCGTGAAGCAGAAAATGTCTTTTTTGGTTTTTGTTTACCAGGAACTTCCATTGATGGTTCGTTCTGAAATTTATTTATTAACAAATTGTACAAAATACAACGATCTTATTTCTTATTTATAGATTTATAGTTTCTTCATTCATTGCCCTGAGTTGTCAAGTAGTATGTCAACCCCATACCATTTTTAATCCAATCAATTAATATTAACCTAATAACACAAACATGGATTTACAATTGATTCGTATTTCTTAATTTCAAATATTAAAAATAACAATCAACGCGAAGTTTCTTTAAAAAATGAACTCCATTTTAATAGTAAACAAACAGTCAGTCCTCGTTATGCATGAAAAGTGTTATTGATACAATTTAGGGGGGTTTCTAAAGAATTAAACCGGGCCTATGAAATGTGTGATAAGTTAATTTGCCGAAAAAAAAGCAAAAAAAAAAAAAAAAAATTGTGACAATACATTGTGTCCGTAATCATAATCAAAAACGTTTATTAAATTTGTTTTTCATTGTAATATTCCTTGTAATATTCCTTCGTAAAAATGATAAACGCGGAACAAAAAAGTACAAACTCTTCATATTGAAATAAGATACTATTTTAATACATACTTATAAATGAAGTATTGAGAAATACATATAAAATAAAATGCGTATTTTCATATATTTTTTAAATGTTCGTATTTTCACTGTAATTTTTTTTTTCACTGAGTGAAACATATTTTCCCATATTTTGTCCAGAAAACTTGCGACTTCTTTCTTCTTAATTCGACCAATACACAAAATTATAGGAGAGGTCTTATGAATTGTAAGGTCAAAAAAGAGAACAAATATATAATAAACATAACATTCAAGTTCTTTTCTATACATTTAGAAGTTATTCAATTTTTTTTTCAATAAATACAGGATTTATTTTTACTGAGTGTTATGAAAATAAATATTCAAAGAGTGGTGGTAGCCACGAGTGATATATGATAATTTTCATATAACAAGATGAAAATAAATCCTGTATTTTTAGAAAAAACTTAAATTTTCTGTTTATTATATACATTTTTCTCTTTTTTTTTTGTCATTACAATTTGAAAGACATTCCCTTGAATTTTGTGTAAAGGCAGGATTAAGAAACTTAGTAGTTCGGCAAGACACCAGTGAAAATACGGAAAATATGTTTCACTGCAGTGAAAAATAAATTTTTACAGTAAAAATACGGAAAAGGAAAATATGCATTTTATTTCATCAATGTTTCTCAATATTTCTTTAAAAAGTACATAATCAACTGGATTTATTTTCATCTTGTGATATGAAAATTACCATATTTCACATGGAGTTACCGCCACTGGCGAAAAATATTTTTTCATACCACACGATGAAAATTGATACTGTATTTATAGAAAAAATCTTGAGTATCCTCTATTTATACATTACAAGGTATATATTATTAGAATAAGTAGAACTGTAGAATAAGCGATACCGTATAAGTACTTTTTTCTGCGGGAACTTTATTTCTGCTATTTCTGCGATTCATAACGACATCGCAGATTTAATCAAAGCACAGAAGGCGCTGCATTTGTTTGGGTCTCAGAATGTCAGAAAGGTGAAGGTTGTGAGGTTATAAACCAATTGGTTTTTTCTATAGTGCCACCAATGCTTTCCAGTGTTTTAACTGTAGTAAATTGGCTATAAGACTAATTGCAACACTGGTATTCAATTCAATGTTTATTTGACTTAAACAATTTAAAAGAAAAATTGCCTTAACTGGGATTTTAACTCCAGACCTCTAGATTCCTAAGCGAGGGTGCAAACCCCTCGGCCACGGTGAAGTTACATGATAAAAGAATATGTGCTGAAGAAAACCATATTATTCTAAATTAGTGTTTGTAACTCTTATTATTTCGACGCTAAACCTGTTGTTTAACACAGATATATAATCACGGAGCTTACTATAAGCATGTATATCTATAAAGAAGAAAACAATATTAGAAATATTCGACCATTCGGGAACTACTTTGCTTGAAAATAATGCGCCTATCATTTGACAATATTTACGCAGTGATGTCCCCTGAATTTTTCGGCGTTAATGTACATATAAAGTGAAGTAACCGCTTCAAAAAAAGTGGACTACTTTCGGCATTTGCAATTAACAGCATCAGGGTCTGAAATTTCGCTACCATTATTTGTTTGGTCTGACGACCCAAACAAAAAAAGAAACGCAGAAAATTAAGCCTTTCCCTATGTCTATGTCGGAATATGTCAACTACCGGTATTGTATTATTACATTACCATGTACCGTTATCGGCTTTTGTAGATGAGAATTTTTCTTTATGTATCCGTCATGATTAAAATATTAGAAAAAAGTACTTTACTTGTTCTTTTTGTTTAAATAAATATCAAGTTTGTATGATTTTCGCTCACCCTAAGCTTGATTTTTTTGTGAAATAAAAATGTTATAGTTTGACGGGTGCAATAAACATACCATTTTGTATTTGTACAATATCTTGTGGATACGTGCGATTTTTCCATTATTATTATTCACACTTCATATTGATACGCATGCAGTATTACAATAAATTGATGTCATTGCACGTTGTTAATTTCTTTTATCAACGTTTGTATACGGATACATGATGATTACGATGAAACACATTAGAAGTCGTCTGCTTGTTAACCGGAAGTAATGTTCATGTTACATCAACAAATCTTGAAATGTTTTTTGTTTGTATCGGTTAATTTTGTAAAAATATCTTAATTAAAACGCAGAAATACAAGAGCCCGGTTTGAGCCGGGTGATGCTCCCCGAATAGGTTTTGGACGCAGGAAAGTACACCTCTTGTAGTGCCAGAGTTATGTCCCTGGAAAAAGTTCAAAGTGCAATAATTACAAAATTAGGCAAGGCAGAGTGACTTTCTTTGCACTGCATTTAAATCAATGCGATCTATGAACCTACAAAGTTTATTGTTGATACCTCGTATGGTTTCAGAGTTATGTCCCGGACAAAGTTCAAAATGTAAAAAATGAACAATAACTACAAAATTTGGCAAGGCGGAGTTCAAGTTCTTATGCTCTGCACATCTAACCATTGAGATCCATCTACCTACAAAGTTTCATGTTCATATCTCCTGTAGTTTGAGAGTTATTTCCCGGACAAGATTTTTTTAAAACGGGAGATAATTAAAAAATTGGGCAAAACGGAGTTATGTTTATTTTTTGTACTGCACTTTTTACTCAATGAGATCTATCTACCTTACACAAAGTTCAAAAAGTAAAATAAACAAAGGGCAATAACTCCAAAATAGGCAAGACAGAGTTATGATTCTTGTTCACTGCACATCTACCCATTGAGATATATATACCTACAAAGTTTTATGTTGGTATCTCTTATAGTTTAACAGCTGTGTGTTTTGGACAAGATTTTTCTAAAAGGGGAGATAATTCAAAATGAGGCTTAACAGAGTTATGGTTCTTTTGCACTGCACTTCTACCCAATGATATCTATCTACATACAATGTTTCATCTTGACATCTCTTATAGTTTTAGAATTATGTTCCGGACAATGTTCAATGTGTTAAAATAAACAAAGGGCAATTACTTCAAAATTAAGCAAAAAAGGGTCATGGTTCTTGTGCACTGTACAACTACCCATTGAGATCTATTTACCTACAAAGTTTCATGTTGATATCTCTAATAGTTTTAGAAAAATGTCCCGGACAAAATTTTTCTAAAAGGGGAGATAATTCAATAACCGGGCAAAATAGAGTTATGGTTCTTTGACACTGCACTCCCCCTCAATGCCCTCTACCACTGTATGAAGTTTAAACAAATTATCTCTAAGGGTTTTAAAATTATGCTCCGGACAAGACAACGGAAGGTCAGACGGACAAGATGGCGACTATATGCTCTCCCTTCGAGGACCATAGAAAAACTTCAATGCGATGATGACACCGCAGAAATAAGATACGCAGAAATTTAAAACCCCTTGTTTTAACAAAAATCGCAGAATATTTAGCCCGCAGAAATAAGTACTTATACGGTATATGTTTTACATATATATGTATTAATTTGTAAACCTCGCAAGACATTTACAGTTAAGTTATTATTGGCGTCCGCGCCGAAGCGCGGCGCCTGTTATGGAATGAAATCAGATTTTGTGAAAGGGCGACGGCAACTTGTCGAGCCTTTTAGTCGGTCATTATAAAAGCCGATCATTCCGATCGGTATGAGGGTGCTTGATTATTAATTAAAAATGAAATGTCGCGATATGTACAATGAATAGCGAACTGGAGAATTTGGCAATGCAAACATTTTCAAATGAAATAATCTTTTCGTCAATAAATCGCGCTCTTCGGGGTTTTTTTATTTATCATTTTGTAGTACACAGGGGGTTATTGTTGTACATGTATCCGAAAGCTGTAAATAGAATGATGAGTTGATGACCTAGACATTCCGAAAATCTATTTATAGAGGGATGTACTCCTATAGGTAATTCCCGGTCTCTCCCGGTCTATTTTGACCGGGATTTACTAGTGACCGGCGAATAGTATCACACGTTTATTGGCCGGTCTCTCACGGTTTTGGAGTAGATGTTTGATATAGTTACAGAACAGAACAAATATTTTACAGATAATTGAGCTTTTTTTCCAAAATGAATGTTTGTCACTTAGATTTGATACAATAATTTATAAACACAGATCAACTCTCAAATTTATTGATTATTATTATACATTAACATACAATTCGAAAAAAAACCAACATCAACAACAAAAGCATGTTTCATGAGACAAAAACAATAAATATGTGTAATAATCGAGAAAAAAGGTACCTTTTTATGGTATTAATATTACACTATCAACTTTGAAACATTTTATTTAATTTGTTATTCGTGTTTAGTAAAGATGCCGAGGAATTATTCAAAGTTACAAATTAGATTTTATGAATTATTCAATTGATTGATAATTTAAAAAATTATAAAGAAAAATACAAATGTACATGTATTACATGGTTTAAGAATAAACAATATTATATTGAAAGATTAACCATAATTTACTGACATTTTCCAGTTAAGTTTTGACTTATAATCGTCGGTCAATATGACAAATGAATTATTAAATTTTTTTTTACAATTTTAATAAAAAAAAAAGAGCAGTAAACGTAAAAACTCAGTATTAAAATAGCACATAAAAAACAAAAAAGAAAAGAAAACAATATTCATAAAATCTGTATTTTTTTTTTATTAAAATAGATATTACAATTACTGTATAATAAACAATTATGCTCAATTATGGTTGTAGAAAACGAAAGTACAAAATCATGAAAATTTCTTAGACATTAATTCGTATAGGATTATAATTCTACTTTTGTAGGCATTTTTAAATTAAATGATTGTCAGACATATTTTCAATCCTAATTGTAGAAAATTGCTGCCAAAAATATTCATAAGGTTGTATGATACTTGTATTTACCTTTGTTTTGTATATTGTAAAATCAGATAAATAATAAATTAGAATTAGATATGCATATTTTCGTTTTTCCTTCAAAATACAATAAGCACAAGATGTGAGATGTACAAATAAAGTTATAATGCTTTGTTAGGTATAAGGATTCTAATTTTTCAAGTATCAACATGTTGACTCGACCTCTTTTTTATTTTTCAATCATTTCAATATACTGTAGTAGGGCAGGTTGTTTCCCTTCTTTGTTTATAAATAAATGTTCTGATTTTTGACACTTAGGTCCTAAATTTTTTATTTCCCTTTTTTAGCACTAAACGAAATTATAATTTGTTATATTTTGAATACACAATTTACACACAGCATATCAAGTATATTATTAGAGATTGAATTTGTAAATATAGAAAAGATTTCAGGTATAAGACTTAAATGATTTTGCTTTTGATAATTATTCTTAATTTAAATGATTTTGCTTTTGATAATTATTCTTAATTTATATTTATGAAACTAAATGTTTAATAATAACATGTTGATATATTGGTTGTTTTGAAATAATTATAGCATTGGTTTATAAGGTTAGATTTCATTGGCATCATTGGTTGCAAAGGTTACAAAGCCATGTTACCGCCCTTTCCTTTCTAAATTTATTAGATACTCTTTTATTAAAAGTAATAGTAAATGATTTCTCTCTTCAATTATTCTGAATGGAAAGTTCTATGAATTAAATTTGTTAATTATCATAAAGTAAGAATTTATTGTTTTAAAGTAAGAATTTATTGTTTATCAGATAATTCATAGTTTGATACATTAAAGTTTATACAGTTGAATAAAGAACATTGTCGTACAAAAATCTTTATTAAAAATTAGATCTGGAAACTTGGTATTTGTGTTACTTCCTACAGTAAAGGTTCAGTATTAAAGAGACGAAGTGGGTCCAATGTTCAGGCTCTATATAAATCAGTAGCAAGAAAAGGGAGAGGAACTTGCGAAGCCAGGTTGTGAAAGGTTTGCAATCTGTTGCCTCGGAAGTACCCCTCGCCTGCTACAATACATTAGCTTTCTGTGTAAGTTTCATTTTAGACTATTTAATTATTACTTTTGAAAATTTTCTAATCAAAAATTATAAATACAAGATATTTACCTCAAAAATGTATTTTCCTTTATTTAAATCGGGATAACTTCTCCTACACAAATGCCCTCCATCGCCATTTTGTCGGAACGCGGAAGTTTTATTGTAATTCAATAAACATTTTAACCGTCTACATGTTTCAAACGAATGTTGTGTACGTGCAAATAAACAAATTCGAACACGATATAGGTCTTACTATTATGATATAGGTTTTGCAGGTTTTTTCTATTTCAATTTTCTTTTCATTTTTTATGTCTAATCGTATATTCGTAATCGTGATATTGTTTCATTTTCAAATATGCGATGCTTTGCACAGCTGAAAGTGAAAATGTTAAGCAAAACATTTTTAACAGTAATAAAACATATTTTAATAGTATTTTTATTCGATATTCAAGTGCCATATTTTCAATAATTTTGGCAAATTTGTATATATCTGTTTTCTTCCATTGCAGTAGGCTTTAACTCTGTTGAATGCGAACATGTTTCAAACTTAAAAGCCCATTATGCCTTAGAAAAGCTTTAGTTTTTTTTTAAAAATTTGGTGTATTTGACAGTATCCAAAAAGTAACTCATTTGACAATGACATGTACCATCTTTTTCATCAGTTGCTTTTTGGCAATAAGTACAGTTAAATTGAAATTATTATTTTGTATGGAAGTCAAAATACTACGTTGTTTACATTTTGCTACTTTTATGACAAATTATTTCACATTTATCATTTCTTTCTTTAGGTAACAAGCATCGAATTTTCTCTAAGACCAATATTTAAATATTATAAAATTCATGTTTGTCCTTCTTTATAAGTAAAAAATATTTGTTTCTGAGGCATAATGTGCCTTTAATGTTTCAAATAATCTTGTGTGTGTACGAGGAACTTAAATTCACTTAGTTGCAAAGTATCTTTTAAGTTTGATTTTTTTTAAAAACAAAAGTGCCATTCTATGATTTGAACAAGCGTATGTACATGAAGCGAGCAGTCAACCCGTACGCTATTATGCTGTGATATAGTGAATGGGTATCAGTGAGTATTGGTTCAGGTTATAAAAGATATAGGCTTTACATAAGAATTATCGACACTCTGTATTTGTTATATCTTGGTAAAAATAAACAATGAAAGGAACAGCGTATTCGAGTAAAATACCTCTGTTAATGATCTGATAGAAATGTAAATGTATTATTAATTTAGTTTGGAATAAAGATTTCCTATTGTCCATCGTTTGATCACGCTGTTGTGATATGTTGTTTGTTTTACGGGTGACAGATACGTTAATTTTTGTACTGATTTGTGATGGGTAAATGCTATATGTTATTCAAATGATTTATTCATATAAATATTGTTTGTTATTGTAGAGGGATACTAGAAACTGACCTGGCAACACTCCATACACCATACACCTGCGATACGTATAGCTGATGTTAATGCAAATCTTTCGTCAAAAATGCAATCCTTAAGACTTATATTAGACTTATAACAATACATTGCAACATATTACTGCTGTAAAATAGCAAAACCTGGTCACACACTCAATATTATATCAAAAACTTTACTATGCAGTATAAATAATGCTTTTACAAAACAAAAAATTCCTTAGACATTTCAAATAATACAATAGTTGTATGTTATGTAAACACATATGACATTCTGGTAATCTGGAAATCATATAAACCTTAAATACGAAGAAACGAAAATCTGCCCTACAAATGTAAAAAAGTTAATACAACGGTTATAGGGAAATAAGTCATACTGACCACATTAACTTAAGCTTTTACGGTTGAAGGCTGTGTTTCTAAATCAAAGATTGTTAAACAAATGGAAATTTCAATGTTAACTGCATGCGGATAACCATGCTTATAGAAATGTCAGAATAAATAATATTTATGTGTTGGTTTCTACCAGAATTAACACAATTAAGGTCATATGGCGCCGAAATAGAAAGATGATTTTGACTAACCTCGGGTGTTGGTCAAAACAACCTCACCGGCTGGAACTGAGAGATGGTCGGAATAGCTTCATTAAAAGAAAATAAAGTGGAATTCATCCAAACATTGTTTCGTTGTTTCTTATACTATATATTTTTAGACTATAAGACGACAGAAAATTAACAAGGCAGGCATGTTTTTAATTGTTCATTATATGTAATTATATGAACATGTAGCTCTTGACTCGAAAGTCAAAGTATTATTGACAAAAATTACTTCAAGCACAAGTAGAAATAAGAAAAAGACCTTAATTAAGCATAAAGAGCAAGGTCTTTCAAATATATATATAGATGTATATTAAAACCAGGCACCACATTTTTAAAGTCAATCATTAACTAGTGAATCAGATAATGTAAATATCTGTACAACACGTGTCCAATGTTTGATTTAAACATAAGAAATGCTAAAATCACCGAAAACAAGATTTTTATTTAACTGACAGAAGTTATTCCTTAACCAGGCAACAGTATACAGTTATTTCATATGTAATTTGGGAACAGTCAAACTGTTGGCCCGAGGTGGAGGGGGTAGTGTTTTGAAACCATCTCGGGCAACAAGATACACAAACCATGGATCACCAAGACAGTAAAAAAGAAAAAGAAACAAACGACTATCCAAGTTCAAATCAACTGGTTCCCTCAAGGATAGGCGGCGATACCATCAGGCCAAAAGAGAAACTCAAAAGAAAGAACGACAAGAATATTGGCGATACTTAGAAGACCTAATCGATGCCAATGATCCAGCCTCAGAACAACCATCAAAGCAAAAAAAGTTCTGGAATTACATCAAATCGTTGAGAAGGGACAACTGTGGGGTTTCACCACTGAAAGACAAGGGCAAGTTACATGCTGAATCAATCGACAAAGCCAATATCCTAAACACCCAATACCAATCCGTTTTCACTAGGGAGGACAAATCCAGCATCCCAAATCCCAAATCCTGAGGGCGAACTATCCCCCACCATGCCTGACATAGAGATTACCAACAAGGGAGTGCTTACACTACTCAGGAAGCTCAACACAAAGAAGGCAGTAGGCCCAGACATGATCTCTGCGCGCATCCTTAAGGAGATGGCTGAACAGTGTTCGTCATACCTGGTCGTCATCTACAAAAAGTGCCTCTCTACTGGCAGCATACCTGAGGTGTGGTTAACAGCCAATATGTCAGCCATATTTAAGAAAGGGGAGCGCTTCAAAGCCAGCAACTATCGACCGGTATCCCTCACCTGCATAGCCTGCAAGATGCTAGAGCACATAATCGTTAGCAACATAATGAATCATCTGGATAGTCACAAGATATTCACCGACAGCCAGCATGGATTTAGAAGAAGGCGGAGCTGCGAAACCCAGCTACTAACGCTGGCAGATGAGCTCACCAAGTCCATGGACCGGCGTAAACAACATGACCTTGCAGTACTGGACTTCAGCAAAGCCTTCCACCGCGTCCCACACAGTCGCTTGCTTGTCAAGCTCCATCATTATGGCATCAGAAACCATACCCTGAAGTGGATTGAGGCATTTCTCACAGGCCGCACTCAGCGCGTAGTTGTTGATGGAGCAACGTCCGACCCAGCACCCGTTATCAGCGGAGTCCCCCAGGGAAGTGTGCTCGGACCCATACTCTTCCTGGTCTTCATCAATGACCTGCCACTTCATGTTCACGTCCAAAGCCAGACTCTTTGCTGACGACTGTGTGGTATTTACCGGGAAAATCACCACTGAAGAGGACTGCCACATTTTACAGGATGACCTGAAGAAGTTGGCATGTGGGAGAAACGCTGGGGCATGAGTTTCCACCCCAGAAAAATGCAGCATAATCAGGGTCCACAGGAAGAGGAACCCCATCATATACCCGTACTCCTTGAAGGGCCACACACTCGAGAATAGACTTCGACAAACAAGTACCTCGGAGTCCATATGTCTGGAAACCTCTCCTGGAATCAACATGTTGACAAGATCGTGAAGAAGGGCAACAGTACACTCGGCTTCCTTCGACGCAACCTGCGCATCAGCAATGAACAGGTCAAGAACACAGCCTACATGTCACTCGTGTGACCAGGCCTTGAATATTGCTCCACCGTCTGGAACCCTTATACCAAGGACCTTACACGCAAGCTCGAGATGGTCCAGAGGAGAGCTGCAAGATATGTGACGAACCGTTACCACAACACAAGCAGCGTATCCTCAATGATCCAACACTTGGAGTGGGAGACACTAGAGTCACGACAGACCAAAGCCCAGCTGACCATGATGTTCAAGATCACCAATGACCTTGTGGACATACCAGTCAGCGATTATCTCAACCCTGCCCGGAGCCGCACTAGAAGTGACCACTCCAAGAAGTTCCATCTACCATCCACATATACATCGTACTACAAGAACTCCTTCTTCCCTCGTACAGCCACTTTATGGAACAGCCTACCTGCCTCCGTTGCAGAGGCCCCTGACTTGGTATCCTTCAAGCAGGGGCTATCAGCCCTCACATTCTAAGTCGCCTTAGGGGCCCAGCTACAAGTACCCACTAGTGATATCCAAGGCTGTGCCGGCAGCGGCCACCGTAACCGGAGAGGTTTGGGTTGAAGAGGCGAAATGTAGCTGGCCATACTTTTTGTCTATATCTCTACCTTTGTACTATCCAACCTCTTTTAACTTCTTATCATTTCTTGTATATTTCTTTTTCTTGACCTAGCACCACCCGTCGAGTCATAATCAAGTGTGATTGCGCCGACGTACAATGTAGATGTAGAAACAGTTCAAAACACTTTCCCCGACACCGAGGGACAACTGTTTGACTGTTCCCAAATCACATATGAAATAACTGTTTTATTACCTGATCAATTACTATTTTAACAGTACTTGCAGAAGAAAAAAGGAACAAGAAAATAGTTTTACACATATGTTCATAATTAAACTTAATACTTTAACTATGTCACGTCACGTCTGGTTCGTGATCAAGATCGATGGACGCTTCAAGTGGGAATCCTCTATGACTTCAATGACGTCAGAACAGGCGAGGGAAACAGCCAAAACTATTGACCGGTCAACAGTTCACGAACGTTGACATTTTTAGAATTTCAAAAAACAGTACAAAATACCAAATTACATTTATATAAGGTATCAGATAATTATGTAAAATAATGAG